AGTGTCTTCACCTTGCCCACAGCCCCCTTTGGTCACGGTTTATGGTTGCCATGGTGACGCCCAAGGATGCTCCCCCTTGTTGGCTCCCAGCAGTAACAGCCTCTCTAAAGCCATCACACCCCTGGCCTTGGCTGTCTTTCTCTCATTATTAATTAAAATATTGAGAGCCAGTTCTCTGTGTGGGCACCAGGCAGCGGTTTGCCACAGCCCGCCAGCTCTCTGTGGGGGCCATGGCGTCTCTTTTGGAGCTGGAGCCCTGAGGCTAATTAGAGGTTCACACGCCACGGATCTGATCCCAAGGTCCCTACAGAGGAGAACCTCTTGCCAACATACAAGCCATTCAGTTGCAAACTATTCTTCTGAGGCCACACTCAGCTTCACTGCGGTGCCTTTCCTGGTTAGAAGTGTTTGTCTGGATGATATTCTGTTTTGTTTTCTTTCTCTCTTTCTTTTTTTCCAGAAATGGCAACTAGCAACAAAGTATTCATGAAAAATGGGTCAGCATTCAGATTAATTAGGAGCCAGATTTACTAACATGGCTAAGAAAAGGCCCAGCCTCCTGTGCCCGCTCTGTGTTGCTGGTTCAGCCCATGTTTATTTTTAAGCATAAATACCAAAATGTCTCCTGACAAATGAGACGTGAAACGAATGAGTTTTTGCACATAAACTTTTAGTGCAAATATGTATTTGACTCTATTGGGCACATATGGGCCAAAGGAAGGGTTTTCCTGCCCGGCTGTGCAGTAGATAAAGGATGAAGATTCAAGTAAGTTCTCCCTCTCTCCGTCCTGGCATTACAAAAGCAGCTCACTTACAAAAAGTAGAGACTTCCTTCTGAGTTTCTTCCAGGAGCAATGGCTTAATGGGGGACTGTCTGGGGAGGTGGGCTGGACCCACACCTGGAACTGCCAATCTGGAACAGCGAGAGTGTCCACTTGACCCATACCTGGGATGAGCCCTCTAACCCCAACAGATCCTCCATCCCCCCTTCTCCACTCTGCTCTGGGCCCCCTGGAGGCTGACCTCTATAAACTGCATCACCTAGGCTTCCTTGCCCCGGGCTTCCAGAAGGGTTTGGCCAATGGGAGACCCTGACAGGGAAAAGGAGGGCAAGAAGAGTATGCGGTTCCTGCTGGGTCACTGTGGGTTGGCTGTGTCCCTTCACTGAAGTCACTGCTCCTATCAGGCAGCCCTCTCCACCCAGCTATCCTCTCTGGGTTCTGCTATTTCTCCCTTCCTTTGCTCCTTTAGGCTAGGGGTGCTAATGACTCCCACTGCTGCTAGGCCAGCGGACTTGCACTCATTATCGTCCTAACCCTGTCCACACCTTTATAAATACTCTATATCAACTCCCCTCGGTAACCCGTTTTAAATGTGCCTTCTGCTTCTGCCAGCACCCTGACCAATACACTCTGCAAACACTCTTGCCTGTTATCCAAGTGGTAACAGTCCTTTCTGGACTCCTCTCCACCAAGCCGCTGAGAACTGTGAGCCAGGGAGGCCAGGCCCGAGGTCATCCACCTGGACCAGCTCATTTTGTTGGCAGCTACGAGTGATCAGCAGGCCTGCTGCCTCCTGGGGAGGCTTGGCAGGACCCACTGCTGGTAGCTGAGCTCAGGGCACCACGTGGCGATGCAGCCACACAGAAAGGTATTTAATGCCCACCATCCAAGACACAGTCTGCAGGCTTCACTCCCATCCAAGCCCACAGCCCGGGTGGCCGTGGGTGATGGGATGAGATCAAACACAAGGCTTAACATGGTTCCCTCCTTGGGATTAAGGCCATTCTGGTGTGTTTGTGAATTAGAGGTCTTGTAACCTACTTCTCCATGCCCAGAGTGGGACACAGAGGTGCCCACAGCAAAGTGACTCTCCCAAGAGCTTCACCTGGAAAGTGGGTGCACAGGCTTTCTGACCTCCCAGCTGAAGGTCCACCTTCTGCACCTTCCAAAGGAGGGCTGGAGAGAAACTGGAGTTTCCTTCCAAGATGAGTCTACATGATTCCTGGCCTGTTCAGGAGCTGGCAATGGTTTTGGGATGACAGAGCTCTTAGGGGCCACTGTATCCCTATCTCAGTGGCACTGCTCGGTCAGTCCAGCTGGGAGCCCAGCTGGCTGTGCTTTCTGGGTGGCAGTGAATGCTACTCCTTGCTCCAGGGAAGGCAGAGGGGAGCCCCCATCCTGGTTTGCTGTCCTGAATTACACGGGTATTAACATACTGCTCTGTGGCTGGCAGGTGCCATCGGGATTGAGCTGACTTGAAGACCCCCATATCATCTAGAAAGAAGGACATGGTCCATCCCTCCATCCATGGGTGGTTCCCTGCTGTAGGGATGAGATGCCCCGGACCATCACCCCTTGTGGCCAGCACAGAGACTGTGGATCTGCTTGGCTATGCCAGGCAGTCAGGTCAGTCTTGATTAGGCTCAGAGGTCAGGCTCTGGACAGGGGAAGAGGGAGATTCATGCAGAAATGAGCTCATGACCTTGGCCTTATTACCATTCTGTGAGCACTACCAAGCTTACTCTCAAAGATCTCTTTCACATGGTGCTTCCTTGACTAAAGCCTTTAATCAACCCTGTTGGTTCCACTTGGCATTCAAGGCCCTCCATAGCTTGGTCTATGATTGCCAACCACTTAGTTTTATCTTCCCCATCCTCTTCCTCTCCAGCCAGAGCAACTAATGGCCATGGGGATAATAATGAACACATATGTGAAACAATTTTCATACCAACCTCCCTCTGAAGTCAGGGATTACCCTGTTCATTTAAAAAAATGGCTCAGAGATGTTAAGTCATTTGCCTCAAGTCACACAGCCAGTAAATGGAGGAGGCACAACTCCATGTGGGCTTTTGCTTTACAAATCCTCTGCTTTGCCACTCTACTCATGGTCTGGGGAACATCCCAGAGGGATGTTCCAGTCTGTGACACAGATGTTTACTTGCAGGGTCCAACAGGATGGGGTGGAAGGGTCTTCTCTTCACCAAACAGCATCAGTTAAGCCAATCATTCTATAAGTCAACAAGCACTTTTTCAGCATTCCTACTGTGTGCTTGACAGAGGTGTCTAACTCCCCCAAAGAGTCACACTCCCTTTCCACTGTGAAGAGATGAGGTCAGAAAGCAACTGCCAAGCCACAGACTACCAATCATTCTATAAGTCAACAAGCACTTTTTCAGCATTCCTACTGTGTGCTTGACAGAGGTGGCTAACTCCCCCAAAGAGTCACGCTCCCTTTCCACTGTGAAGAGATGAGGTCAGAAAGCAACTGCCAAGCCACAGACTATATTTCCCAGCCTTCCTTGCATCTGTGTTGCAGCATGTGACTGAGTCCTGATCAATGGATGAGGCGGAACTGATATTTACCACTTCTAGGCCTGGTCCTTAACTTGCCTTTCCATTCTCTACACCAGCCTTTCTCTGAGAGAATTAAGCCCTACCAAAATGATTTGTGTGGCTACTTTCCTAAGACACTGAGAGCCATTCTAAATGGGTAAGAAAGAAGTTGATTCATTATATACAATGTATGCCTTAGAGCATTAGTGCTTCATTTCCTTAGGGAGCTGAGTTGAGAAGGGCTATCTTTCATCTCTCTTCCCTGTCCGTTGGCTATCTGTCGATGCCTAGAGTGGGCTTCCAAAGCCACTTGCTGAAGCTGGTAGTTTCTGTCACACTGGGTCCCTGAATGACCACATGGAACAGAGTCACAACATCCCCGACTCCAGGGTAGGACTCGATGTGAATGAGAAATAACATATTTGAATTGTGTTAAGCCACTGGCATTCTAGGGCTTATTCATCACAGCACCATCTTAAATTAACACAGGGGGTGGAAAGTGCCATGCCCTCCCACAAGGTGGGAGAACTTGTGGCTGTTTAGGAGAGACCCTCTACAGGTCCCAGCTGACACACCTTACCCCACAGCCTGGGGGAAAGTCTGGTGGTTCCTATGTGGAGCCTAAGAGCAATGAGGCCTCCAGATCCAGCCAACAGCCTGAGACACACTAAGGAAACCTCCCACAGGGGGTATAACTGAGTGAGAAACAGAACTGAACTGATGTGCAGGACAGACTGGCAGGTCACAACTGTTGGAAGCTTAAATCAGGTAGGGAGATAGGATAAGAAGATATGAAGGACTGTCACCTTGTATTCAGCAGGACAATCCAGGAGCCTGGATCTTCAGCTGGTGGCGGGTGGACTGCACTTTGAAAACTACCATTGTAGGGGCATGACAGTGTGCTCCATCACATCTGGTAGGTTTTATATGCAACTGTCCCCAAGCCCAGGCTCCCAGTGTTTTAAGGCCAGTAGAGATGCTCTCTGTGGGACTCTGCATCAGACAAGACTGAAGAGTGGGGTTCAGGGAGGGAGTGACTTGCTTAAAACGTAATAACTTCGTATAGCATACATTATACGAAGTTATACGACACTGAAAGGGAGTCTAGGTGCCTCCTCTCCAGTCCAGGCCTGCCCCAAGAGGCTCTTTAGCTACTTGACATGGTGAAGGGGATTTCTTCCTTCTCCTCCCTTCTCCCTTAGAGACGTAGTTGTCTAGTACTGCAAACAGCAGTCTCTCCTCAGAGCACAGCTTCCTGCAGGCATGGGCCTCACCTCCTCCCATCACAATGGCCCACCACTGACAGCGGCCTGTACAGCAAGGCAGCACCACTGGGCATGACACAGGTGCAAATTTGGTATTTTAATTTGCTGGTGGACCACAAGAAACCATAACAAAGTTGTCCTTACTCACTGAGGAGCTCCTGACTCATGGCAAATAGCCCCATCCAGTCAAGGATGAGGACATGGCATCATCCCCATTTTCTACCTCAAAATGGCAAGGAGAGAGAATGTACAAAAATAGCAACTGCTGAGCCATTTGCAATCTGATGACACTTTCTGTTCTGTAGCTCCATCAGCTTCTGTCCATCACCTTTAGCTCTGCAATGCTCACCACATGTGCAGGAGGGAGAAGTCTCATGAGTGAAGTCTCAGATTGGAGCACCCTGTCCAGCTTACTAAATGAGTCGCCGCGGCCGGGTTCGGAGGTGGTGCGGTCGGCGGCGCCCGCGTTGTTAGCGTTGGCGGCGTTGGCGGAACCGTGGCGACGCGGGCCGCTGCTCTGGATGTGGGACACGGCCTCGGCGGCCTGCATGTTCGGCGGGGCGAAGCGTGAGAGCACGCGCAGCAGCGCCTGGGCCTTGTGTTCCTGAGTGTCGTCGTCACTGTAGTCCGACACGCGGCACTCGTATACTCCTTCGTCCTGCAGCCGCACGGCTGACAGCCGAAGCCGGTGCGAGATGTCATTGCCCTGGACGCGCACGGTCTGCAAGAGAGCGGGGTTAGAGGCCGGGCTGCGTAGGTCCGAAACCTGCTCCTCTGGTGCGTGCTGTCAGCGCCCCCCACCATCGCGCCCCCTTGCCAGCGCACTCCAACACTTCCCAGACCCCAGTTTGTCCACCATCACGATCCAGCTTCCCTTTCACCCCGTGTCTCCCAGTGACAACTCTGCTGGGACGCTGGGTCGCCCTGCCCATTGCATTCTGACCCCAGTTCCCCATCACCTTAACGTAATGCCCTGCATCTCCCCGCCCGCACAAACCTGCGCTTCTTGTCTTCCCATAGCTAGCCCTTCGGAATGGCAGGACCCACCCCTCCTCCACTCCTGCACCTTCCAGAGACCTCAGGCGGGGCCTCTTGTTCGCTGACCGTCCCTCGTCTTTCCCGCAGCAACGCGCTCCACCAGCTGCATCCACTCCGAGGCATCGCCTCAAGTCTGGCCCTCCATGCCTACCCGCACTAACGTTCCTTTTTATCTAGAACCTGGAGGACCTGGGTCGTGTCCTTAGGAAAGCCACGCCCTCAGAGTACACATATATATCTGACCCCAGCCTCCGTCCTCCCAAGAAGTCAGGCGATTCTGAGGCTGCTGCCTGACTCCCTGGCCTCCTGCTACGAACCTCCCTGTCCGCGCAGTCGCCTGAAGCCCCCGACGAAGCGCTCCCTGCCTGAGGCCTGGTGGAAACATTGGGAAGGAACCGCTCTGTGACCCTCCCAAGCACCCGGGTGAGGGTGCTTATTCCCATCCTTATTCCCTCGCCTCTGGACCGTGCCCACGAGGATGCCCTCATCGTCTCCAGGCCTTTCTACTTACACGCCCCAGGTGGGAAAGCTTGGGCACATATCCTCCCAAAGTTAGGAACCCCACGACCCGGACCCCGCGCACCCTAAGACTTTGCCCC